AACAAACATTGCGACCTATTACCACAACCAGTGTCATCTGTATCTCCACAACGCTTTCCATAGATCCCACCCCGAACCCGTCACGAAACCCAATAGAAGAAGGTCTTCTGCTGCCAAGACCGTAAAAGCAGATTCAAGCAGCAAAGCAAGTTCGAACAAGAGCCCCAACGAAGAGAAACACGCGGCATCTATCGCCAATGCTCAATTCCAGCGAGGCTTGGACTGGGAATCCAGGTTATTCAGGAACCTGGAGGACTCGGAGCAGCTGATACGCCTCGATACATCTAAACTCAAATCGGCTCAAGAAATTCGGGACATCATCCTCCAGACAGCTGCTTCCCTCGAGAGCAAAATTGTGTCCATCAAGAAAAGGGGTAAGCGTAAAAGTAAACAACCCCGAGAGAAGAGGACGGTATGGAAACCAAAGTATATCGCCAACCTCGAGTTTCGGTCCCCTTCGTTCGATATCGAGCTCTCAAAGCACGGTTCCGGAAAGGGCAGCGTCGTGTTTGGCGTCGCAAAACCCGACCTTCTCAAAATAACCAAAGTACAAGAAACAAAACCTGACGGATCTTCCGAGGAGAAAATTGTCTGGGAGATTATCGACGCCAAGGTATCCAGCGAACTCAAGTCCAGCCACAATGCACAGATTGGATTCTACCACCTCTGTGTTGACGCGCTTCTCTCGTCCGTCAAGCCCGATGCGGCGTCGAGAAATAACGCGCCCAAGATCGTCCCTTCTGAACGGGTTTCTGTTTGGATACCGAATGGGTTTGGCCAAGATGCCGTTTCGCAGGTAGAATCGTCGATAGAGCAAGCTCAACCCGAATCAGACGACGAAGACGACGAAGAGACCGAATCGGACGATGATGACGTAGATGAAGAAGATGAGAAGGATGAAGATGATGAAGAGGACGGCGAAGAGGAAGCCAGACGATTTGAAGGGTTTCAACCTCCTATATCCACACCAGTATCAATCCTCCTTCCGCCCTTACGAAGGTTCTTATTCAAGCAACTTCCTTCTATTCTCAATGTTTCGAGAGACCGGATAGATTGGCATCTCAATCCGTCCTGCCAGGGTTGCGAGTTTCTCGACAACTGCAAAGCCAGTACGATTGCGGATAAACGGCTGGGGATGATCCCAGATTTATCCATCTCGGACGCAAGATTTATCAGAGAAGTTTTGGAAATAGCCGACAACCTGGGATTTCAGTCGGCTGGCAAAGAAACACCCATCGGGGATATCGAGGAGTTGGATCAATTGGTCAAAGGACCAGGGATGAAAAAACTCGAGTCCACATATCCTCCCACTTCGAAGAAATTTCAAAGGCTTTTGGGCATTCAGAAAAAAGAGGAAGGTAGATGGAGCCCTAAATTGGACGCGGCCATCTTAAATCGACCACAGGTAGATTCAGGCTCACTCTTTCTGATACCTTTACTAAAGGTGTACACAGCTCACAAAACAGCGGGTATTCACCTTTCCTAGGGCTGAAGACGTGGGTATCTATATATCTCTGATCATCGACATTGCGTCCTCGTCGATTGGCAGTTTCTGCATATCTGTACACGAAGCACAAGATGGCTGCGTCCTCATGTCCCACATAATGGGAAATAAAACCAACTTCGTGTCAAAAATGGCAAGAGTACTAAAGGAGATAAAAGAACACAATCCACGATCCAGAGTACAAGTGTACACCTATTCACACGCGGAGAGATCCATTATCATGTCGCACCTCGTACAAGTCACACTCACGACGGAGCAGACCCAAGAAGAGTTTGAACGTGGTGAAGACATGAAGCAAAAACGTGAGGATGTCAGAATGTGTTTAGGCGCCCTTTGGGAAGGCACGTCGCTCCTTGTCACCACGTTCCAACCCTCCATCCTCTCTGGTGTCCTACTCTATGTCCTATCGAAGAAGAACACGTTATCAAAGTCCTCACTCGAAACATGTTGTGAGCGATTTGGGCTGAGCATAGAGGGTAGCATGGAAGATATGAGAAAGAGGATCGAGAACGAGCAGCGCCGATTGGCAGAGATAGGAGGGCGCGCTGGAAGTTCTGCGGATGCACTCAACCGAAGAGAAGTAGGTCAGTTGCCCAAGATCGTGGTGCTAAAGCGCGAACTGGAGAGGTTGTTTGCCCTCCCTATTCCTGGATTCATCGACTTGCCATCGACGGGAAAGGTGCTTGTA